TTGAGGTGCAAGGCCCCGTTCCACAAGGCGATCGTACGGTAGCGCAACGACAGTCGTTGGTCTAAGTTAAAGTATATGAGTTGCGATAACCTTGACGCTACGCTAATTTTGTGGAACGGACGCCTGAATTCTAAACGTGGACCGTTGGATGGTATTAAATTCATACGTTTCAACTTTTGACGTATTTGAAGTATTGCTGTGTTAAACTCAGTTGGATTATGCCGTGGATCGTGTAGGTGTCAGCCTATTCACACTCAACAGTATAATTCTAACAACGTTATAAATGGCCAGTAATAAATAAAATACTAAACTCGCTCCCGTGTAAAACCAATTTTATGAAACTCGTGAATAGTTGTGGTATCTGACTCGCTTTCGCTCGTCAGATACCACAACTAATCACTCGTTTCATAAAATTGGTATTACACGGGAGCTCGTTTAGTATTCTATATATATGTTAATAAAGATTACCATCTAAAATTATTGGATTAAAAGATAAGTACACGAATGGTAGAGGAGTTAGTTCAAATTGCACTGCAGCGATGTTAGACGATACTGTGAGGAAATGTACTTGATATAACGAGGAGAAATGCTCACTGCTGTGTGAAATACTCATTTGCGCTTCTCAGTACTGTTAAAATGCCAGCTTTGTATGAAAGTTGATCTAATATCTTATTAAGACAGTTTCTATTATAAGCTTTATTTTGCTCGCTCCAGATGATGTTTCCATGTAACCAGAGCGTTTGGTCTAAATTACGTAATGAATAAACACATCTGAACACTAGAAATAAAAATTCTTATTCACAAGCAATGTGGAGAAGATCTATCTCAAAGTGAGTGAGTTGGGTTTAACGCCGCTTTTAACAGTATTCAAGTTATATTGCGGCATGTCAGCTTCATGTGGGAGGAATGCCTGAAAGTCTCAGACGTTTACCACTTCAGTGAAACCCACAAGCACGGGTATGGTGCTGACAAACCTAGAAACATAATCGGGCCGAACCGAGATTCGAACCCACAATTATAGGTTTCTGGCGTGCCCAAGGGACGCAACTCTGCATAGCGAATCGCGGCACCTTAGACGACTGGGCCACCCGTGCCCCGCTATCTCCAAGATACAGTATAGGAAAGCTAGGGGATGGCACCCGTTAACGTGCTGGCGATAAACTTTTATGATTACTGCCAGTCGTAAAAACAGAGACTAATAAAACATATTTTGTAAATGCTATGACATAAAATGTGTTCATGTCTACTGTTGTCGAGATAAAAACTGTATTCATTACACTGCAATTGTCATGTTTAGTTGTATGTGGCGTTGCGCGATGGCAAATACCTACCTAATTACAACCGTACTCGTATAACTATGGAACAATCTGTGACGATCTTCACGTGACAATAGTGTGTATGTAACATTGGAGTAACGTGTAACGATCGTCATGTGACAATAGTGCGTATGTAACATTGGAGTAACGTGTAACGATCGTCATGTGACAATAGAGTGTATGTAACATTGGAGTAACGTGTAACGATCGTCATGTGACGAAAGGGCGTATGTAACATTTGCGTAACGTGTAACGATCGTCATGTGACGAAAGGGCGTATGTAACATTGGCGTTACGTGTAGCAATCGTCATGTGACAATAGAGTGTATGTAACATTGGCGTAACGTGTAACGATCGTCATGAGACAATAGAGTGTATGTAACATTGGAGTAACGTGTAACGATCGTCATGTGACGAAAGGGCGTATGTAACATTGGCGTTACGTGTAGCAATCGTCATGTGACAATAGAGTGTATGTAACATTGGAGTAACGTGTAACGATCGTCATGAGACAATAGAGTGTATGTAACATTGGAGTAACGTGTAACGATCGTCATGTGACGATAAAGTGTATGTAACATCGGTGTAACGTGTAACGATCGTCATGTGACGATAGAGTGTATGTTATATTGGAGTAACGTGTAACGATCGTCATGTGACTATAGAGCGTATGTAACATTGGTGTTATGTGTAAAAATCGTCATGTGACAATAGAATGTATGTAACATTGGAGTAACGTGTAACGATCTTCACGTGACAATAGAGTGTATGTAACATTGGCATAACGTGTAACGATCGTCATGTGACAATAAAGTGTATGTAACATCGGAGTAACGTGTAACAATCGTCATGTGGAATAGTGCGAATGTAACATTGGAGTAACGTGTAACGATCGTCATGTGACAATAGAGTGTATGTAACATTGGAGTAACGTGTAACGATCTTCACGTGACAATAGAGTGTATGTAACATTGGCATAACGTGTAACGATCGTCATGTGACAATAAAGTGTATGTAACATCGGAGTAACGTGTAACAATCGTCATGTGTCAATAGTGCGAATGTAACATTGGCGTAACGTGTAACGATCGTCATGTGACAATAGAGTGTATGTAACATTGGAGTAACGTGTAACGATCTTCACGTGACAATAGAGTGTATGTAACATTGGCATGACGTGTAACGATCGTCATGTGACAATAAAGTGTATGTAACATCGGAGTAACGTGTAACGATCGTCATGTGTCAATAGTGCGAATGTAACATTGGCGTAACGTGTAACGATCGTCATGTGACGATAGAGTGTATGTAACATTGGAGTAACGTGTAATGATCGTCATGTGACAATAGAGTGTATGTAACATCGGAGCAACGTGTATCAATCGTCATGTGACAATTGGGCGTATGTAACATCGGAGTAACGTGTAACGATCGTCATGTGATGATAGAGTGTATGTAACATCGGAGTAACGTGTAACGATCGTCATGTGACAATAGAGTGTATGTAACATTGGAGTAACGTGTAACGATCGTCATGTGACGATAGAGTGTATGTAACATCGGAGCAACGTGTAACAATCGTCATGTGACAATTGGGCGTATGTAACATCGGAGTAACGTGTAACGATCGATATGTGATGATAGAGTGTATGTAACATCGGAGTAACGTGTAACGATCGTCATGTGACAATAGAGTGTATGTAACATCGGAGTAACGTGTAACGATCGTCATGTGACGATAGAGTGTATGTAACATTGGAGTAACGTGTAACGATCGTCATGTGACAATAGAGTGTATGTAACATTGGAGTAACGTGTAACGATCGTCATGTGACGATAGGGCGTATGTAACATTGGAGTAACGTGTAACGATCGTCATGTGACAATAGTGCGTATGTAACATTGGAGTAACGTGTAACGATTGACATGTGACAATAGTGCGTATGTAACATCGGAGTAACGTGTATCAATCGTCATGTGACAAAAGGGTGTATGTAACATCGGAGTAACGTGTAACGATCGTCATGTGACGATAGAGTGTATGTAACATCGGAGTAACGTGTAACGATCGTCATGTGACAATAGGGCGTATGTAACATCGGAGTAACGTGTAACGATCGTCATCTGACAATAGAGTGTATGTAACATTGGAGTAACGTGTAACGATCGTCATGTGATGATAGAGTGTATGTAACATCGGAGTAACGTGTAACGATCGTCATGTGTCAATAGTGCGTATGTAACATTGGAGTAACGTGTAACGATCGTCATGTGACGATAGGGTGTATGTAACATCGGAGTAACGTGTAACGAACGTCATGTGACGATAGAGTGTATGTAACATCGGAGTAACGTGTAACGATCGTCATGTGATGATAGAGTGTATGTAACATTGGCGTAACGTGTAACGATCGTCATGTGACAATAGGGCGTGTGTGTCTGTCAGTCTCACGGATGTCCGTTAGTCTCGGAGGTGTCTGTCAGTCTCCCGGATGTCCGTTAGTCTCGGAGGTGTCTGTCGGTCACTCGGATGTCCGTTAGTCTCGGAGGTGTCTGTCGGTCTCTTGGATGTCCGTTAGTCTCTATGTTGTCTGTCAGTCTCTTGGGTGTCCGTTAGTCTCGGGGGTGTCTGTCAGTCTCCTGGGTGTCCGTTAGTCTCTATGTTGTCTGTCAGTCTCTCAGATGTCCGTTAGTCTCTATGTTGTCTGTCAGTCTCTCGGATGTCCGTTAGTCTCGGAGGTGTCTGTCAGTCTCTCGGATGTCCGTTAGTCTCGGAGGTGACTGTCAGTCTCTCGGATGTCCGTTAGTCTCGGAGGTGTCTGTCAGTCTCTCGGATGTCCGTTAGTCTCGGAGGTGACTGTCAGTCTCTCGGATGTCCGTTAGTCTCGGAGGTGTCTGTCAGTCTCTCGGATGTCCGTTAGTCTCGGAGGTGTCTGTCAGTCTCTCGGATGTCCGTTAGTCTCGGGGGTGTCTGTCAGTCTCACGGATGTCCGTTAGTCTCGGAGGTGTCTGTCAGTCTCTCGGATGTCCGTTAGTCTCGGAGGTGTCTGTCAGTCTCTCGGATGTCCGTTAGTCTCGGAGGTGTCTGTCAGTCTCCTGTGTGTCCGTTAGTCTCTATGTTGTCTGTCAGTCTCTCGGATGTCCGTTAGTCTCGGAGGTGACTGTCAGTCTCTCGGATGGCCGTTAGTCTCGGAGGTGTCTGTCAGTCTCTCGGATGTCCGTTAGTCTCGGAGGTGACTGTCAGTCTCTCGGAGTTCCGTTAGTCTCGGAGGTGTCTGTCAGTCTCTCGGATGTCCGTTATTCTCGGAGGTGTCTGTCAGTCTCTCGGATGTTCGTTAGTCTCGAGGTGTCTGTCAGTCACTCGGATGTCCGTTAGTCTCTATGTTGTCTGTCAGTCTCTCGGATGTCCGTTAGTCTCGGAGGTGACTGTCAGTCACTCGGATGTCCCTCAGTCTTTACGGTGTCTGTCAGTCTCTTGGCTGTATACAATAGGTCAGTGTCTCAGATGGATGGCATATATCAGTTTCTCAGTTTGAAGCCATTGGTTAATCTCTACGGTGTCTCTCATTCTCTCAGATGCATACCGCCTTACAGGTGTCTGTCAATCCCCCAGGTGGCTCTCCACTTATCAGATGCCTATCGAATATCTGTATGTCAGGTTACACAGATTAAAGAAGGACGTACCTGTAACCCATGAACCAGCAGACTGGGAAAGGGCGGGGATGTATCCACGGGGTAGAGAAGCCGTCTGTCAACCCTCACTTCACTCCCATCCTCCTGGGGGTGCGACAATTCCGTACATTCCTCCATTCCCCCTGGGGCGGTTGTACCACGTGTAACTATACTTTCCCTGCTACACGTAACAGCTGTTATACAGTCAGTGTGATTGGTTATTGCTATTGATTAAACATCATCCTCGTGACACTGTGCCATATGGTGGTAGGGAAGAGCGCACAGCAGGAGATTATTGGGAATATTTCAAGAACAATGGTTAAATTTCCATTTCCGTGATTTTTCAAAGATTTCCTTTGAGATCACTGTATAAATGTAAACGTCAATACTAAATACGTTAAGGAAACATATGGCCCTGTGTCATGCTGTTGTATTTAAGCAGCCCCCCGAAACGACTTTGCAACACAAAGACAATAAGCCTGATTTAATGTGATTTTTAATTGACAAAATAAAATATTCCTGTTTACTTACAGCTTTGAGTGAAGTATCTATAATACTCAAAGAGAAGGTCTGGTTTTACAGGGGTGGATGCATAGAGCATAGAAGTTAAAGCGTCAGCTCGTCAAGCTGATCCCCGGGTCCGATTCCTACATTATGTGAATACCATTTCTGATATCCCCGGTCGTGATATTGCTGGAATGTACATGTAGCTAAAAAAGAGATTAAACGAAACTGACCCATCACTCCTCTTAATATCATGGCTTATCGCACCACATACACGTTTGTATCAATCCGATAATAACCAACTAATTACGAGGAATGTAAGATTAGCTGAGAAGGTATCAGCATCACATAGCCCTGATCTGATGGTCGTGGTTTTGAATCCCAGATTTGCCCTGATCACGTCACTTGGTTCGTAAGCACAAGGCCCGTAGGTTTCAGTGGTTGACGTCTTGTACCCACGACACGTCCGACTGTTCTACCAGGTGAGATACTTTTTAAAGAGACGCAAATCCCAACTCACTCACACGTGAAGCAGTCACACCGGGATATGACTGACATACTGACGTGAATCCCAACTCACATACTCACACGTGATATGAGTGAGATACTGTTCAAAGAGACGTGAATCCCAACTCGGAGTCATCTGTGATTTGTTAGATGGAGGGTCATGTTCTCGAACACTTCCAAAACATCATGGTGAACACTCAAGGTGGAATGAGATTGTTCCTGGAGCAACGACGTTTCACTGCTTATAAGTATAAGTCTTGAACCCACGGCTTGCCACACATGTGACATATCGTTATACTGTTGAGTGCACAGTCCTGATCCATGTCTTTGGTGCTGTGCAAATAGCGCTGATCCCATGAGTGAGTGAGTGAATATGGTTTTACGCCGCTTTTAGCAATATTCCAGCTATATCACGGCGGGGGACACCAGAAATGGGCTTCACACATTGTACCCATGTCGGGAATCGAACCCGGGTATTCGGCGTGACGAGCGAACGCCTTAACCACTAGGCTACCCGACCGCCCCGTTGATCCCATGAATGTCTGAAGGGTCTGATACCCACTTGCCATTCTGGAGGTAGATAAGGTATAACTTTTGAAGCACTGACTGAAAGAAAATATTCTGTCCCAAATCGAAAACAGCACCCCAAACCCTCCCCTTACACACACACGCTCACACACGCGCACACGCTCGCACACACATTTCACATGTATATTTTTATTTCATTTGCATAAGATGCATATAGATCGTTATCGCTGTTCACACACAAGATAAATACCATGAAATAAACTTGAAAGCAAACAAATATGTAAATGATATGGGGAAAATGCAGGCCATATCGCTTGTTTATCAATAAACGTCGAACAGAGACTAGTGTTTATTTGTGATTCATATTGAAAGGTGTTTGCACAATGAAATATGCAGGTTCACAGCACATGATTGGTTCTCCAATCCAATGCAGTTCTGGCAAAACCACCTCACTTTTGCTAAATAGTGTGCTACATCACGTTTTGAGGTATCTGTCAGTGATCATCTCGCAACGACTAACAAACTTGATAAGTCTGCTTTCGTCTTATATGTATACTATCAGATAAGATATATCCTTGCAGAAATAAGTACACAATTGCCACAGGATCAAGCATGGAATGCATCAGACTACAATCAGCGGCATAGGAACGTATTTGTGGTGAATATGCTATTTCTCCAAATACAGATTTGTGAAGCCGGTGCTATCCACCCTTTAATGATGATAGACGACGGAGTTCGGGATGCACTTTTTATTCAAACAGCCAAGATGAACATTACAGTCGTAATTAATGAATGAAGACCCCCTAAAAAACCCACACAAAAACAAACAAAAACCCAAAACAAAACAACATAAATGCATGTTTGATTATACATTTAATTTTGTCTCACATGATCATGCATCTAATACAAAAGGGCAATAACAAATTCAAATTATTTTTGTTTAGAAAGACTCTGTCAACTATCCATCATCGCTACGATGACAAATTTTGCAAAATTTCTAAAGTACGTGTTCTCAAATAAAAAAAGAAGAAGTATCAATTAGGTAACTCTTAGATAAATATAATGAAAATGTATTTTGTACAATAGGTCAAATGGCCTTATACAAATAAATCTGTTTGTCTGTCAAATAACAAATTCACGTCACATTCATCCTATTCAAATTAAATAAAGACATTAATGAACTATAGTGCCGCCAAGAAAGCCAGAATGACGACCTGAACAAGTAAAATATAGTTCACGCATAAATCAAACATATAACCATGACAAGACTAACAAGTCAAGGTAAACTTAAATACATATAAATTGTAATGCATTTACACTCTAAACTGTTCGTCAATGTAATAACCAAAAATTTATACAAATACAACTTTCTAAATTTATTTCCAAAATAGAAATTTACATTACTTCATAACTTATCTTTTAAACATACGTTATACACATTACCAAAAAAAACAATGAATAAGCCCCAAACCGCTGACAAACTACTCACGAAAAACAATTCAAATGTAAAAAAACCTATACAAATTCATCCATGTGATCACAGCATAAACGTCCTGGTAGACTTACTGGGAGAGCAAAGCAGAGTGACCAAAAGGCCACACTACCAACTATATATTGACTCTACCAACTAATCACATGAACACTTTTAAACCTTGTGAAAAGCATGGTGGTTGTGTTAGTGAGATATATGTCACAGCCAGGAACACTGTTAAAGTTGTGTTTGTGAGATATGTTCTAAACCTTCAACTAAAACTACATTTGGTTGAAACCTAAAACTACATATGGTTGAATGTACAATGAAATGAAATGAATTAAAACAAAACAAAACGGCTGCTTGTTTGAATCTGCTACAAGGGGGTAACCTTGCCTTAGGTATTCCATACAGGGATACACGTTCTGTTAAAGAAGTCAGCGATCATATAGTTAAAAGGGACATATTTCGTAAGGATAAGAATTTATGGATGAACAACTTCTTTATTACAATTAAGAGCAACGTTTCGGTGTAGGTTCTAACACCGTTATCAAGCAAGTGATTTACAGAGTGTGGTTGGCAAGTATATATACAAGTAGGAGGCAATGTTTATACAGTAGCGTAGATATTGTTATACTGGAGTAGAGAAGCCTGTTATGTACACACAAGGGTAGTGATGACAATCATCTTTATTGTCTGTTGTACCAGTTGCTCAGGATAGAGGTTATACTGTATAAATACATGTTTGAGGTGGCTTAGTTCAGTAGTTAGAAGTATATAAACAAGTATTTACACAGTATAACCCTTCGGCAGATAAAATAGGACTTTGGTTTAAAAGAGAAAAAATAAATTACAACAATATTAAAAAAGCCAACAAAGGATACCAGATAATCTTCCCTAACCGAGAATCTTACAACGCAGCAAATAAAATAACTCAAATATTCCACGTCACAGTAATCAAAAAAACACCTAATTGGCAACAATATACACGAGGCGTAATTAGGGTTAACCCAAGGGAAACAACTGAGGACTTACAATTATACTCTCTAGAAGCTAACATAAACCAAGACCAAAACCCTCAACCCCTAATCACCAGCACGCGTAGAATAACCTCAACTAGAAACGGAAAAACGGTCCCAACCTCCATTGTCATAATCAACTTCAAAAAGACCGCTAAATTCCCTGAAGCCCCCAAACACATTTCCTTCGGAGCCCACACCAACTTAGAAGTCAAACCCTATATAAAGCAGGTTAAGCAATGTACAAAGTGCCTCAAATACAACCACACTGCCTCCCAATGCACATACCGTAAAACTAAATGTAAAAAATGCGCACAAACAGACTGCCCAGGCACATGCACACCCTGGTGCATCCACTGCAAATCCACCCAACACACTTCACTCTCAAACCAATGCCCATACAGACACACACTCACCCAGCAGGCCAACAAACACATAAACATAGACACGGCTAAAATCCAAACACGAAAATTTGCTACACCTGCATCTAAACCACTCCTCCCTACACCACACCCAAACACCATCCCACAAACAAACACCACACCCATAACCGACAGCTCTGTCTGGGGCCCCTACCGAGAAACCGCACCCACCTCACACATACAAGCAGCCACTCAACCAACCACGAACCCTCCCACATCTCACATAGCCAAAACATCAACCCCCGCATGCAAAACAAACCTCAAAATGACCACCACAACACGACCCTCATCCAAGCACCCTACAGCCCATATGGTAACAACGCTCTCCCACAAGCAAGCACAACAACAAAACACAAACACTAAGAAATCATCAGCTACACCCATCCCACAAACACCTTCACAATCCTCCACATCACATGCATCCCCCATGGAAACTCAATCAGCTAAACCTAATCTAACCGATGACGAAGATTTCTCCACTACTGAGGAAACAATAGACTCTACTCCAACTAAAACAAACCAAACTCCCCAACCAGCCAACACCCAAAACCTAAATAACCTCACCTTACTCCTAGCATACATGTATAGTCAAAACTCACCAAAAGCTAGCATGAAATCCTTCTACAAAGTAGCTTTCAATCTAAAATTAACCGATCTTCCCTTCTTCCTCTTTAACCTCCATCTAAAAGAACTCA